AAGTTGCCACACCTTGCCTAAGGTGAGGTGATCAAATTGTTAGCCACAACTTACTAAGCCTAAGGGAATCTTGCCACACTTTTTTGAGCCATTGACACGTGGGACCCAATTTGTTGAAGGGGAATCTTGCCACAACTGTGGCTACAATCAAACACCTGTCAAATTTGCATAACCTTAGGCGTGGCAAACTGTGGCAAAGTGTGGCTTGCAACCAAACACACCCTTACCTACAGTCTTGCCACATACTCCCTTTCTAGAATAATAAGTTCATTTTTTTCCTTCCGTTTATCTCAAAAGAGGTTCATTTTGAGCAATTGTATCAGAATTTGTAAAAGTATGAGATAAATATATTGAGAATAGTAAATAATTACATTGAGACTTGATAAAGTGAGGATATTCTATTTTTTATTTTGTATTGGTATGTATAGGATGGATAAAATGAGCTTATTTTAGATCGGAGAGACTAATATTTGTGGCAAGATTCTCATCTCACTTTCGACGAGGGTCAGTCGCAAATATTTCACAAACGTAGACATTCTTAAAGCAAACATGTGACATTGTTTGGTTGTGAAAAATCTGTATATCACAATATTGAATGTGTTGAAGGCACGCAAAGATTGTGCTAAAAATGTTTGTTAATTTTGATTCTGCAATTTCTACACCTAAAGCTTGATGCTCGATATGGGCCTTTCATGAGTGCAAGACTCCAAAGTAATTACTTGGGCCAAACAACAAAGCCCAGTCGAGTCACTTTTCTATTGGGCCTATTTGGGCCAATTGGTATGATTGATGAGTCAATTACTAGTTTACTACCCATCCCCCATCATTTTGGACATTCATGGGGTTGATTGGATGGAATCCATAATGAGATGGTGCTTATTTTTTATTCCTCCCGTTTGTCCAAAGATAAGTTTATTTTTGAGTAACATTATATTGGAGTTTGCAAAAATAGAGAATAACTGCATTAGAAAGTGATAAAGAAAGAGATAATTGCATTGGAATTTGAGAAAGTGAGGATATCTGGTCCTTTTCATTTTGTATTGGTGTATATGAGATATATAAAAATGAAATTATTTTGGAATGGAGGGTGTATATTCAGATACATCAGTATTCAGGAAATAGAGAGCAAGCACATACAGATCATGTGACAGCAGACACGAGCGTGTGACCGGCTGACCGCTGCTGTGCACTACTACTCTCTGATTTCTGCTTCTCCATGCAACAGAACAGAAGAAGTGAAGAACAATATATGCAATGCAATCCCAAGCTAGCTGCTTCATGAACGTAGTCACATGTGGATATACTACTAGGACGGTAATGTATTCTGGCTTTGTTTCCATATACTGTATGTTTCCCATTAGGCCCCGTTGGATTAATCTTCTCAAGATGAAGATTAAAAGCGGGCACATAAAACTAGAATTCCATTAATACGTGATTAATTGAGTTTTAATTATTACAAACTTAAAAAATAATATATTTGATATTTTAAATCAACTTTTATATAGAAATTTTCTGCACGAAACATATCGTTTTATACTTTAAAAAAGGTGGTAACGGAAACTGAGATAAAATCTTTATCTTCATTAGAAAATAACGGGACCTTACTAGTAGAAGTCCTTTTTTTAAGAGTTAGGTCTTGTTCTTTTCTTCAATAAAAGTTGAATGAAAATTTGGATATTCGTGGCACGTTTTTTAAACTGCTAAATAGTGCGTTTCGTGAAAAATTTCTATATGAAAGTTGCTCTAAAATATCAGATAAATATATTTTTCTACTTTGTAATAATTAAAACTCAATTAATTATATGTTAATACCACCTCGATTTATATAAAACAATTAATCTTCATCTTCATTTACGTGAGTTTCGAACAACACCTTAGTAGAAAACTTATACTACTTGCTATAGTGGATACAGGATGCCTGTCTCCTACAGTATATACAATGTTTTATCCCCAGTGTATGCACATATTACTCCGTCTGACGCTTGCCTGAAATCTGCAATGCAGTCTTACGTTCCTACTGCTATCAGTATGTTCTGCATATCTATGATGATTTGTCACTTCATTTCAGGATATCAGTGTTGCTAATCAGGGTCTGATTATCAAAACCAGTGCAAAATCGTATCCCTTTTCGAATTGTGTCCCTTAACTATAAAACTGGATGTATTGTATCTTATGACTAAAAACCGGTGCAAATTGACTATTTCGGTGGTTTGGGAAGACAAAACAGGTTGACCGTGGTCAGACTTGCTGATCAGCATAGGCTACCGTAGAACTCACATGTCAACGCCCACTCTTCTTCTACCCTCTCTTTCTTCTCTTTTACTCCCAACCAAGCCAAGCAGTATGGGAGGTGGCCACGGTGAGCCCCTCGGAGCACGTTCGCCTATCCACCATCGTTCTTGTAGCTCGGAGAGGCCTCTCCGTCTCAACACCGTCATCCCTTGATCCAGTTTTCATAGTTGAGCGAGTCTCTGTACCTGATTTTGCAATTGAGGGATACGATTCGACGAGTACAATAGTTGAGGGAGCTAAATTAGACTAATTCTCAATTAATATAGCTCAGTGATGTCAAAATATGCAAAAGTCCAACCATCGAGTCACTCCTCTATTGGCCCGTCTTCCATTTTTTATTTTAGCACAACAAATTTGATCTTTTTTCCTTTTATGCATTTATATAATTGGAAATTTGGAATTACATTTTTAATTTTTTTTGTTCCTGTTACATTTTTAATTTTTAATTAAATGTAATATCAACACGGTGCAATACAATAACTTTTAAGTTAAATAGAAGTTCATTTTCTCCACTAGGATACTTAAAGAATTTTGAGTATATTTTTTTTATAACTATCGTATAATAATATCTGTAACTTTGTGTTCATTCATCAAAATATGGTTTTATATTAAGACTATGCTATTCACTAGAAAAATTTGAGAGTGTACATCCTGAAAGTATGATAACAAGAGAGATTTTCTATCATTTTGTTTACGTTTGGGCCAATTATTTTCCTCTTAGAGATTATAAGAGATTCAAGTGCGATTTTTGCAGAAGTCCCTAGAAAATAAATGTCATATACTAAAATTTATATAGAATAAAATGCTTTACCTATAAAATACTGTTTTAGTAGAGAGAGAGAGAGAGAGAGAGAGAGAGAGAGAGAGAGAGAGAGTAACTGAGTCATCTATAAATAACTCGTATGGAATTACCTAGCTATGCACAATTTTGTCCAATGTCAAAAACATCTCCTATGGAATTACCTACGCACATTGTTGTCTAATGTCAAAATAACTCCTACGCTATCATATCGTTTTCGTTTTCCATCGTTGTCACGCTGTCAATTTTGCAGGCCTGCAAAAACTACTAGAGTACAAAAGTTAAAACTATTTTTTCACCATGGATGGATGGATAGATTTATATATGCAAGTCCTCCAAGATGTATACCAGTCCAAACCAAAAACTCCAACTCGCAATATTAATTCACACTGAAAAATTTGGGGAAGATTCAATATATAATTTCCACTCTTTTAATTTAATTTCCTATCTAATCTTGACTGATTCCCGTTTCAACTGGAGAGGAGATGGGAGTAGATGCACGGTGCCACAATCGCGAAACGTGAATAATGAAACGAGCGAAGAAGTTAGGCAGACTGAAGGCCATATGAGTATATGACATACACACGTGACGTCGGGTACAATATACTCCCTCCGTCCCAAAAAAAAAACAAACCCTGGGTTTGCGTGTCCAACTTTGACTGTCCGTCTTATATGAAATTTTTTTATAATTCGTATTTTTATTGTTGTTAGATGATAAAACATGATTAATACTTTATGTGTGACTTGTCTTTTTAATTTTTTTTCATAATTTTTTAAATAAGACGGACGGTCAAAAATTGGGCACGGAAACCAGGGTTTGTCTTTTTTTTTGGGACGGAGGGAGTACAAAGTAAAATTTGACGAGAGGCAAGGACCCCACTTGTCATACACTAAATCCACCCTGGTATACATGACACTAAAAGTAGGCAAGGACCCCACTTGTCATACAGTAAGGGCTCATTTGAATCGCAGGAATGAAAAAACACAGGATTCTGATAGGAATACAATTGTAAAACAGAGAATTTGTAAAACACAGGAAAAACACAGGAATGGCCGTTTGATTGGACCACAGAAAAAACATAGGAATCTGATGGGAGAGATAGATAGACTCAGAGGAAATGTTCCAAGAGGTTAGACCTCTTGCTAACTTTCCTCCAAAATATGCATAAGATTACCCATTCCATAGAAATTTTAAAGGATTGGATAGGATTCAATCCTTTGTTTCAAAGACCTTCGTAGGATTTTTTTTTCCATAGGATTGAAATCCTCCAAAATTCCTACATTTTTTCTACAAATCAAAGGTGCCATAAATCCACCCTGGTATACATGACACTGAAAGTATATATTAATTATATGATAGCAATAGATTTTCTATCGTTTTCTTTACAATGTCATGGAGGTTGAACTTTCAACTAAAGTGATATTACCTCGTCAAAGAAAAAGTGATATCACCTCCATCTCAAAATATTGCAACCCGGATCTGGACAGATATCTAGATTTATTATAGTAGGAACAAATTACATCCTAAATTACAATATTTTGGAATGGAGGAAGTAATAAGAGTAATTTGAAAGTGTGTGGAAAAGGAAACTTTAGCTCTTTATGTGCGGAACGCAGCCTAACTACCTAAGTAGACACTACAGGAATATTGGCACGCATGTTCAAAAAATAATAAATATGGTACCTGTGAAAAACAGACTTTTAATAGACAATGAGAGAGATAGGTAACTGAGTCATCTCTAATTTCTAACTCCCATGGAATTACTAGAGAAGCCAAACAAACTGCCTCTAATGTCAATCAGTTTCGCTTTCCATCCTTCTCATGCTGTCAATTTATCAGTCAATCACACTACAAAATTAACATAATCTCTTTTTTTTTTCTTCACCATGGACGATGGATATATAGATAGATAGATATATTTATCCGAGTCCTCCAAGAACACCAAACGAGAAGCTCCAAGCTCGCAATAATTCACCAAGAATCGCACCACTTTTCACCTTTTCTTCTCCTCCTCCATTTCCATCCATGGCGACGCTGCTGCTGCTGCTGCACACGGCGCAACAGTGAGCTATAGCTAGAGCTCGGCACCACGGGTTAGCAATGGCGGTGGCGGCGGCGGCGGCGGCGAGGCGGCGAGATGTCTCTTGTCTTCTCCTCCTCCTGTGCTTCAGCTCGTCAATGGCGGCGACCGGCGGCGGCGGCGGCGGCGGCGAGCAGGAGGCTGACAGGGTGGCGCGGCTCCCGGGGCAGCCGGCGAGCCCCGCCGTGTCGCAGTTCGCCGGCTACGTCGGCGTCGACGAGCGGCACGGCAGGGCGCTGTTCTACTGGTTCTTCGAGGCGCAGGCGTCGCCGGCGCCGGAGAAGAAGCCGCTGCTCCTCTGGCTCAATGGAGGTCTCGATCGCTTCTGCTTTTTTTTTTTCTAAAAAAAAAGAATTTGCTGCAGTAAAAGCTCTGTTAAATGTTAATCGGTTAAAAATTCTGTTAGTTAAGTAAGTAATTACTCCTAGTAAAAACTACAGTTTCTGTTTGTTCTTTTGTGTGTGCGATATGAAAAATTCAGATATTTTCTCTTGGGTATTTGTTCTGTGGAGTACTTGTCGTTTATGTTTGTTTAGTTTTGAGATGAGGTTTCAGGTTAAATTTGTGATCATTGGTTAATCTGAACTTCTGAAGAGCTGCTTATTGATTTTTTTTCTTTCAACTGATCATATTGCATAAATATAAATAAATAAATGATTGTTGCATGCAACATTTATGTTCTTTCTTGATGGTTAATTAGGAATATTTTTTTTTCTAAATGGTTTGTTAATTTTGTTCTTGGTTTTGTCAGGACCTGGTTGCTCTTCCATTGGCTATGGTGCTGCATCAGAGCTAGGGCCTCTCAGAGTTGCAAGACAAGGAGCAGCACTAGAGTTCAACCAGTATGGCTGGAACAAAGGTGCAGAGTTTATTTTGTTTCCTTTAATTCCTGAATTATTTAAATATTTTTCATGCTTAACATCACTGACATTTGTCTTTAGTATAATTCTGAAAACATTTTTTTTGTGCTATAAAATTGGTCTTTGCCAGAGGCTAACCTCCTGTTCTTGGAGTCTCCTGTTGGGGTCGGCTTCTCCTACACCAACACATCCTCTGACCTCTCCAATCTTAATGATGATTTTGTAGGTAATTAAGCTGATTGTAAAATGATACTCTAGTTTGCTTGGCCATCTACAGGTGATCTGAATTTCGATTGCCTTGTAATAATGATTAGAAGTGTAATTTTGTGGCATCCTTTTTTTTTTTGTTGCAGCTGAGGATGCTTATAGTTTCCTGGTGAACTGGTTCAAGAGATTTCCTCAGTACAAGGACAATGAGTTCTACATCTCAGGGGAGAGCTATGCAGGTAAACTCATTTCAGAAATGAAACCGGTAAATTTTCTAATCAGTTTTGTATGGTCTAACATTCAGAATTCTTCATTTTCATCAAGAAATTAAAAGATTTCCTAACCGCAACATATTACAAAATCTGGTGTGAGACATTTTTCTCATTTGTTCTCATGTGGATGTAAACATGTCCAAGATGCCTTCCTTTCAAGATTCCAGTTATCTAATCAAAATGGAAGGCAGCATCCCAATCCTTGACCAAAATTTTCTTATCGTTTGCTTTCACAATATCTCAAGGATTGTATGTATCGAATTATGTTAGTGTCACCATCTTATCTGAAACCAGAACTTCCACTGAAGAAAAAAATCATCACTGACTTTATAGAACTAGCTGACACCTATCATGAGTTCATGACAGCTCTTAGTTCAGCAATCATCCCCTTAGCAAGCAAACAAAAGATCATACTTTTAATGGTGAAAGTGTCAGATCAGGAACCAAGTCTCTAAAATAATATAAGGTTTAGTTTCAGCCTTCTCAAATATTCCTGAAGTACAATATTCTCAGAGTCATCTGATTGTTCAGAATTCAGAAGAAATTTATGTAGAATTCAGTAAAAGATGACCTGCTTAAACAAAAGGTAGAATGATTTCAGTTGTTACTTGCATTTATGTATTGAGGACAGAAATTATACCGATGCCATCCGAACTGATAGATTTTCTCTGCTTGAAACAAAGTTTGAGTTTTTGGATTGTAATATTGGTCCATTAGATCTCTGAACATATGTCCCTGAAAGAATGACCAAAGCATCAGTGGTAGGTTCACGGGCTACATTGGGCTTCTTTCACAATCCACATGCTGTGGACCAGAAGATGCTCTGCAAAAAAAGCTTTTGTTCTGCACATCATGCAAGATGAATCTCAATCTGAACTTTTCCTGTGCAATGTCCCTGTTATACAGGTCACTATGTGCCCCAACTTGCTGACCTTGTCTATGAGAGGAACAAAGACAAAAGGGCCAGCACATATATCAACCTCAAGGGGTTCATTGTGAGAATTTCTTGAATTGCTTTCAGTAATTATTGTTATGGTTTTGCCAAAAAGTTCTTTTATGTGAAATGTGCTCATGTATAAGAAACCATATACAAACTTAGAAAGTAGAAAGAACTGTTTACTCTCACCGTTTCATATTGCTTGTCATTTTAGCTTTGTCTTAAGTCAAACATTCCTTACAACTTACGCCATAAACTTTTACTCATAAGATTTATGTTTTTAGATTGAACAAAAGAAATACTTTCATAATATATAATTCACATGTTCTTAAACTATATGAATTTACAGAAATTGATGGTCAAAGTTAGGTATATTCGACTTAGGACAAAACTAAAACGACAAGTAATTTGAAACGGAGGGAGTATTTTGAACAATAGTTTCTCAGTTGTAATGCTCACAGGAACACCCAATTGGAACACGATTAACTTCCATTTAAACCATCCTAAACTCATAAAATTGGTTCCTGCATGAACATAACAGTCAAAAAATCTGCTTGCAGGTAGGCAACCCTCTCACCGATGATTACTATGATTCAAAAGGTTTGGCTGAGTATGCCTGGAGCCATGCAATTGTGTCGGATCAAGTTTACGAGCGCATCAAGAAAACTTGCAACTTCAAGAACTCCAACTGGACTGACGATTGCAATGCTGCAATGAACATAATCTTCAGTCAGTACAATCAGATAGATATATACAACATTTATGCCCCAAAGTGCCTTCTAAACAGTACTTCAGCATCTTCACCTGATCGTGCATTCTTCGCAAATAACCAGGTAAAACTGATCCATATGCAAAAAAAAGGATAAAGTTTCATTCTGGACCCTCTTCTGAAATTCATGCATTTCTGTGTTTTGACAGGAACAATTCAGGTGGAGAATCAAGATGTTTTCAGGCTATGATCCATGCTACTCATCCTATGCTGAGGACTACTTCAATAAGCATGATGTGCAAGAAGCATTCCATGCAAATGCCAGTGGACTGCTTCCAGGGAAGTGGCAAGTTTGCAGGTGAATTAGCCCAAAGATTTTTCAGTTTTATATTTCAATGTATTAGCCATTAATTCTTTTAGCTTGACAGGAAGCTGAGCTCATCCATTTCTTTTTGCAGTGACCAAATCCTCAACTCTTACAATTTCTCAGTACTTTCCATCCTACCTATATACTCCAAGCTCATCAAAGCAGGGCTGAGAGTTTGGCTCTACAGGTTTGCCTCATCTTAATCTTAGACCTGTTCAATTAAATCCATTTTTCAGTTTTTTTTATCATTCACCTCAGATCTTCCCCATTATCCTCCATACTACAGTTCTTGTACAGTTTCTCTGAAACCTTGAAATTACTGTTCAAATATATTGGTAGTAATATGCATCTACATAAAAAATATGCAACAATGCCCTACAATTTACCTGAATCAGTCTCTGTTCATCAAAGCAGCGGTGATGCTGACGGCAGGGTCCCGGTTATCAGTTCTCGGTACTGCGTGGAAGCACTCGGCCTACCGATCAAGACCGATTGGCAATCTTGGTACCTTGACAAGCAGGTCTGCAAACCAGAAGCTGAACTGAACATCAATACATCATGTGATTTGACTTGTATACATGCTGAAACATGGAGCAAAATATTTCAATTTGCAGGTTGCTGGGAGGTTTGTGGAGTACCATGGAATGACAATGGTGACTGTCAGAGGGGCAGGTCACCTGGTTCCCCTCAACAAACCTGCTGAAGGGCTTATGCTGATAAATGCATTCCTTCATGGTGAGAAGCTTCCGACAAGCAGATGATATGCGCTGCTGATGAAGCTTTGGAGGTACAAGATGGCATGAGATACAGGCATGGACATCAATTTTCATTGAAAGGCGCCAATCGGATAGATTTGATATGGTAGTATCCAAATCAATTTCAAGTGCGCCGTAAATTCAGTACTCTGTTGAACATTCTTTTAAATCTGTTGTTGACTATGACTTTCTTCTTTTGTGTTTTTTTTACTCACCTTTTCCATATTATAAGTCGTTTTGGGTTTGTCCTATAATCAAACTTTTTAAGTCTGACAGTTTATAGAAAAATAAAGTAACATTTTCAACATAATAAAAATACACTATAAAAACATATTCAATGGTGGATTTAATGAAACTAATTTGGTATTGTAGATTTTATTTCTTTCTGTAAACTTGGTCAAACTTTAATAAGTTTGACATATATCAAAGTATCAAACCGAAAATGTCTTGTAGTATAAAACAGAGGGAGTGACACTTAGTGAATTATACCGATATGTATTGGCAGAATTCAGCAAAGTTTAGGTGACACCAGGGAAGAATGCCCCAACAAAAGATCCAAAAGACAACAGTAAGTCGAGCAAGTAGGATATCACCCGTTTCTTCTGCCTTGACCAAATTCTCAACTCTTGAAATTTCTCACTACTTTCCATCGTACCTACATATTCCAAGCTCATCAAAGCAGGGCTGAGAGTTTGGCTATATAGGTTTACATCATCTTAATCTTAGATCAGTCAATTGAAGTCATTTTTCAGTTTTTTTTTTATCATGCACCTCAAATCTTCCCCATTATCCTGCACAGTACAGTTTCTGTACAGCTTCTCTGAAATCTTACAGTTAACTGTTCAAATATATTGGCAATATGCATATATAATCCAAAATATCTAACAATAACATACAATTTACTTGAATCAGTCTCTGTTCATCAAAGCAGCTGAAATGAACATCAATGAATTGACTATTAGTATTCATGCTGAAACATGCAGCAAAACATTGCAATGGTGACAGTCAGAGGGGCAAGTTACCAAGTTTATAGGCTGCTTTCTTCTGGAACGGTTGCGATCTTCTCCCCCACACACGCAAAACAGAGCAAGTAATTACGCATTTGTTATAAACAGCTTTCCTACAGATTTTTTTTTGTGCAAAAAACACAACGTTTAGCGGTTTGAAAAGCATGCACGTGGAAAACAATGGAGTAGATGGCATGAGATATACTACTAGGCAACATTGTATAGGTGGCAAGAGATACAGGCAAGAACACGGGGACATGAACACCAAACTTCGTTCAAAAAGGACCAATCGGGCTGAATATATATGACAGTCGTTCATATGAATATTAGCAGTTCAGCCAAAATTAGGTAACATCCTAGGTTAAACGCCCCGACAGAAGTCATCAAGTCAAAGAACACTCGAATTACATAACATTCACTAAATTATCCTCTCCAGGTAACTTCAGTCTTGCTGTACATCCTCAAGCCATCCTCCGTCAGGCAACCTAAAATTCAACACATTTATCGCTGCTTAAGGGGTAAAATCTAGGTATTAAAACAAGCAAAGTAGAACAATTGTACAATAGTTTAGAGAAGTTTACCTTTCCTGAGCTGACTTTAAATTCTAAGGGTAAGGTAATTGTCTCCTTGCATGTACCTTCAATGTCATGTACTTCCAACTACACAAGAAAAGTAATTTTGCTAATTATTTTTCCCCAATTTTGTAAAATAAATAAGTAATATTTTTTGTTATTATATAATATCAGACCTTGAGAACCATCGACCTCTTCTCACCCAGGTATCTCCGACCAAGATGAAGGAGATAATCTTCTATCTGTTCACGAATTTTAAAAATAGAAATCACAACACATTTGTATTATTCTTGCATAATATTGATTACTTGAGACAAGAATTCATTTCACCTCAGGCAACATAGTCCCGCACTTATCCTCAAAAAAGATCACGTCACCCCGTCTAACACCGAGATTTTCAAGAGCAGAATCATTGGCTATGTGTTCAACAATAAAGCCACCTTCGATGTTATGTTTCAGAGAGAGCTCCTCCCGGAGTGAGAAACTAGCTAGTTCCACACTTTTTAAATCCATGTCAAACACAGGGCGGGCAACACAGCTACAAATAAGATGGATTTAGTCTATTAGAAGAAAATGAGTGCTAGTGATAAGATGGATTTACTCTATTAGTAGAAAATGAGTGCGCATGTTGGTGCGCCGACCACTTTATAGCCCTTGTATATTATTTAGCAAATTGAATTTTAAGACTTAATTTTAATTGATTTTAGGTATTTTTTAATCATGGATTACTTTCCAGCATTTGCTTTTTCGAACCGCTAATAACATAGATATAAAAGATTTATCCATAAAACTAATAAGAATATATCGTGATTAGTGGGTTTACGTGCTAGATAAACTTTTTAACTTTGAGAAATTGCTCAAGACGATATTATGGGAAAATGACATCTAAAAAGTTAGTGCCATTTCCATAATATAGATAGTTTCACATGTACATAACATAATCTGTATTAGGAGGAAATACATATCCTAAAACAAATGTCTTAGATTGCCAATTTCTATCCATCATTTTGTAGTGAAATTACATGCTACTACTTACACTGCTCATCTAGTTCCCTGTTTATTGTTTTCTTCATACAGGCTACTACTATACCCGTATGTAGTGTAGTGGTTTTATCCAAATATTTTTCAATGGTTGCAACATAATCCTTGCTTCCAATTTTCTTTTGGCATTTAAACATACAATATTATCGTAATGAAGTTAATTTCTTCGATTTTGATTCAAACGGCGGTACATTTTAGTACTGATGGAATAAAGAAATTTAATACTGATGGAGAAAGAGTATATACCTAAATTGCTCCCACATCTCATACAAGGCATGAATAATTGAGATTGAAATGATTGCTGCACAAGGGCCGTCTCTGTATACTACAGCAATGATACTACCACAGTAGTCAACCACAGGCCCTCCTTCACCACCCTGCATTAATTAAAAAAATAAATAAATACCACTAAGTAGAAGGTAAAATAAATAGCAAGTGTGAAGAAAAGGTATTTACCTCAGGAACATCACAATCCAGAAACATGTAATGGTTTCTCCACATCAAAGAACCATCCGACCAGGTGATTGCTCCACGCCTCGCCACCAGGGACATATTTTCATCCCGAGACAAGGCAAGAATTTCTTGGCCATACTTTGCTGCTGACCCAAAAGTGGGGACCTGCAATGGTAGGTCAGACGTGATCTCCAAGATGGCAAGACTGTAGTGGCGATTCACGAATATCAACCGTCCCTGCACGATAGACTTATCTGGGAGATGAACCCATAGCTGAAAGATAGAGAGAGCAGGCAATGGGAGAAAAAAAAGGTTAATGCCATATTGTTACTCATTTTAAGCACAAGAAACAGAATTAATACTAAGGATATACAAGAAAAGGCCTGACAATGAAAATGTTTGAGAATTGAAATCAGAGGGCTGAGTAAAGTTCGCACAAAGCAAATGCACGGCAGCCCAGCTACCGTTAGCAATTACTTGACCATACTTAATAAAAATGGCAATGGAACTCGGATGATAGAAACATGGGGATTAGCTAATGGAAATCGGTGTTCTACACTTGGACCAAGAAATTAAAGAAACTGGCAGGCATGAAGAGTCATTTTTAGCAATTGGGTTTGCCCCTACTTAACAAGAACAATAATGGAACTCGGATGATAGAAACATGGGGATTAGCTAATGGAAATCGGTGTCCTGCACATGCCCCAAGAAATTTAAAGAAATATACAGGCATTGTAAGAGTCATTTATAGAAACTGAATTGAACATGATGGTTAATAATAACAGATTACACACATATAGAAGCCACAGTATATATATACAGAAGCTGCAGGAAAAGAAGCCTGCACCTCGGGTTGGGGCTCATGCGGCTTACTCTTGAAGTCAGTGGAGTAGATCGTGAGGATCATAGCACGCTTGGTGGCTCCATCCCAACTGATGACGGTGCCGGTGAGAGGAGAGATAAATTTTCCCTCTGAAAAACATCCGGTTGATTAGCAGGTAGCTACATACATAGCTAGAAGTTGATATAAATTCATATTTTGTATCGGGCTACTACTAAATACATATTTTCCCTTTCGTTGCAATTCGAACTAGACATTGTCTATCTCGCCTACAGCTAATTAAGTTTGATCGATGACTAGATTAGCACTACATCCATGGTTACCATGGGAGTAGAGAGCAGCAATAATTTTCTGATTTTGACTGCATAAGTAGATCGATCAATCTATCAGACAGTAAAGTGGGTTGACTCAGTTGAATTAGAAGTAGATGTTAATTACCAGTCGGTGGAGATGAAACACGGACGATTGAGCGAGACATGCCCAACACCATCTTCTTGTCAGAGGGGGTGGGCATGGCGGCCGCGGTGGAGGGCTCGTCTTCCGCATCCCGGAGAGTTGCCTTCCGAAGTCGATCAACTGAAGAAGATGAAGAAGAGAAAAAAAATATAGGTACTCAAAAAAATTGGGGAAGAAACAGTGGTGGGGATGGATGGATCGAAAGCTCAAGAAAACCTTTGCGCTGGGCGATCCAGGAGCTTTCTCTGCCGATGCGCGGTGCGGTGGAGTGCGGCTGCGGCGGGTGGATCGGCCGGCGTGCCAAGGTACCAGGCTCCCCCGTCGTCGTCGTCGTCGGAATCACTGTCGCCCGCGACTCCCCCGCCGTCTCCTCCTCGATCCTTCTCTTCTTGTTGTTGTTGGAAGAGATTCCCGGCGATTCCACCGCCTGAATCGGAAGAACCAGTCCAATCTGCTTTGCTCGGGAGCGAGTCAACCTCCCCGACCACGATCCGGGATTGGGAATGCCGTCGTGCGAGCGGAGATCGGAATCCGGCGTTGATTTCGACCGTGCCGACATCGCCGGCGACGATTTGGGGGGCATGTCCGCCTCCCGCCGCACCAATCGCCGCCGCCGCCGCGCGTTTTTTTTTTCTTCACTTTTTAGCTACTAGAAAAATGCGAAGTATATTTCAATCTTATTACTACTATATTTATTACTAATGTATAGTACTCCCTCCGTTTGACTTTTTTAATCAACGTTTGACTACTCGTCTTATTCAAAATTTTTATGTAAATATAAAAATACTTATGTCATGCTTAAAGAACATTTCATGATAAATCAAATCACAATAAAATAAATTATAATTATATAAATTTTTTGAATAAGATGAAAGGTCAAACATTTATCAAAAAGTCAACGGCGTCATACATTAAAATACGGAGGGAGTATATAGTTTAGTTAGGATGAAATTTGGAGTACTGTACGTTCGCTTGGATATATATTACCTCCGTTTTTTAATAGATGACGCCGTTGACTTTTTCTCACATGTTTGATTTTTTCTCACATGTTTGACCATTCGTCTTATTCAAAAAATTTATGTAATTATAATTTATTTTGTTATGAGTTGTTTTATTACTCATAGTACTTTAAGTGTGATTTATATCTTATATATTTGCATAAAATTTTTGAATAAGACGAATGGTCAAACATGTGAGAAAAAGTCAACGGCGTCATCTATTAAAAACGAAGGGAGTATATTTTTAGAAAATCATGATCTACAGGAAGTCCGATCGTCTTAAGTTAGCATATGAGTTTTTTTAAACAGATTTCTTATATGAGTATGATTCCTTATGTATTACCAAAAGCAAACGAACTTAAAAACCGACCCATACACAAATACCGTACAAATACCGTAGAGATATAGATTAAAACCAAAACATAAAATTAAAACCGACTCAAACACAGATAACGAACCACGGAAACATCTTCAATTTTTATAAGCGACTCAAATATGGATGACGGACCGCGGAAACATATTTAATTTTTATAATAGATAATAGATTTTCAACCACACCAAAATTTAACAATTTTACTATATATTTATCGGTAAATTTTCTTTTAAAAATTTGACAGATGTAATTACATTACATAGTGTAGCACAATGTAACTTGTATATAACTTTCATCCGTTAGATTTTGTTTCAAGATTTGTGCAAGTGAGGAAGGAAAAAAGTCAGAGCACGTATTTATGAGAGGATTCGTTCCCACGACCTTCTATTTCACCGAAATAGCATGTTACGGAGAGATTTTTTTAAATTACATACAAGTTACATTGTAGTTACATGCAAATTACAGTGTAATTATTTTACAATTATACTATAATTACATCTGTCAAATGTATACCCTCTGTCCCAGAAAAAAGACCAATCCTATCTACGAATTTAGACACGTGTATCCAGGTTCGTAACTAGAATTTATTTTTTCCAGGACGGAGTAGTAGGTGATACCAAATTTAATGATAGTAAATTTTAGCAGATTCAAATTTTGATAGTATTAATTATTGTGTTTAGTTTCAAATGCCATGTGCTTCTCGAGCGACTTTTTGAAAACAAAGCAATCCTCCAGAGAATGTCTATCTGTTTTGTGTATGGGGCACCATGATTTCTTTGTGTCGCTGCCTTGTGGGTCCGGGCGCTTGGGAGGGTTCGCGTATTCTGCTGCGAGGACTTCCGCTTGAGCTTTCCTTTTCCCGTTTTTGCGATTTTTCTTCTTGCTCGACTCAGATGTGTCTGCGGCTGACTTCTTCTCTCCCCCAGTCTTCGGTTTGTCGTTCTTGCGTCTTAGTGCGTCATCGACGTGGGCACATCTTTCAACGATCTCGAATAATCTTCGAGTAGTTGTGATGCGCCTTGTTGCCAACTCCTGGGTAGTGTAGCGATCTCTGACACCAGACTTGAAGGCGCGAATTACAGAAGCGTCAGTGATCTCGGGGATGGTGTTCCTGCACTCGTTAAAGCGCCTAACGTATTCCCTCAAAGATTCACTTGAGTTCTGTGTTAACGCGTGAAGATCGTCTTCGATCGCGTGACGCTTGTATGTTCCTTGGAAATTGGCGACAAACTGATGCCACAGGTCTGACCACGAAGAAATTGAGTAGGGGGGAGATGCATCAGCCACGAACGTGCAGAACCCTTCAACGCGGTTGGTAAATAGTTTGCCAATGCATTGGCATCTGCTCCAGCGGCATAAAGCATTGTCGAGTAGACTTGAAGGAATTCTTCCGGGTCGGTGCTCCCATCATACTTTTCAATAACTCTAGGTCGGAATCTCTCAGGCCATCGGACATCACGTAGGGAACGACCGAAAGCCCTACACCCAGCGCTTGGAGCGGTGGGTTGTCGGTGGTCGCATGACCTTCGTGGATGTCGGTCTGACGATGAAGAGGACGCGGATGATGACGATGATGACGATGGGTCGCTTGGTTCCGGCGTGCGATTACGAGGGTGACGACCTGGATCTCGGGAATCTTGTCTTCATCTCTCGTTGTTGTCTCGACGCTGATCTCCTTCATCTTCGTCGTTACGGCGACGGCCGTGACCAGTGTTGTCTGGCCCTCGCCGATCGCGATCGTCATGGTCTCGGTTCTCTTTTGGGCGACTTCCTCGATCATGGCGTCGTGAGGAGACATGACGCCGGGAGTGGTTCGCGTCATCCCGTGTGCGTCGTGCTTCTCGGCGTCCGTTGATTTGATCTCGAAGATCGCCAGTGCCACGAGGTGGAGGGGTAGCTTGTCGAGGTGATTCCCTCCGTTCTGGACTTTCACCGTTAGCGTCGCCGACTGGCGATCGGTTTTGTTGTGCTGCGGTGATGGCTTCTTCGAACGCATTGCTGAGGTTAGTCACCGATGCCCGTACTCGTTCCGTCCAACGCTCGAGGTCGTTGTTCAGAACGGGATCGTAAGGTGTTTCCCTCAGTATGGCTTGAACAGCCCTGATGTGTTGGGCTGGGGTAGTCGATTGATTCGCCGCCACCGCATTGGCTTGTGCTGACGTGCCAACGTCATCGATAGCCAACACCTCCCGCGCCGCGTCTGACGTTGATGACCCATAGTCTTCGAGGAGATGTAAAACAGATGGTTCATGGGGATTGAGATCGATTACCCCAACGAACCGATCTAGGGCTGGAGTCGCTCCTTGTTCCTTGCTGTTATCCCGGATGGGGACGTATGACTTAGGAGACGGAGTTTTCATGGCGCCGAGTAGAATTTTGCAACTCGAGAGGTCGTGATTCTTTGTCTTATGGATAGGACAATAGACGTTCCGAGTTGGAGAAGTACGCTGGATCCCACGTTCTTTGCAGGCGCGGATTTCAGCACGAGCGTTGACGAATACCCAGTAATCTTGAAGAGTATGTTTCTTGGTTTTATGAATAGGACACCAAGACCTGATAGTTTCGGAAGTCATCTTTGCTGGCCCGCGGTTTGTGTCGGAGGGACAAGGCCTGGCCGCATCAGAATCCTTCACGAACTTGGATGTAGTCGGTAATCCGTTCTCCGTTTCAACGGGTGGATTTTTCGACGTGGAGGCGTCTTGGTTCGTAGCCACCGCGTTCTCGTTCCCAGTCATTGGGGGACCGGTTGAGATCGGCATTGTGGTGTAAACCGGGTAGACGATTTCGCCGACTTGAGTCCATACCAGCATTGTTGAGGTAGGAAGAACTTGAGCGGAGCTGGTGTTGGCGTTGTTGTCGACGAAGCTTGATGGCATAGTAGTAGAACCTTGAATACCAAGTCCCCCTACCTGGCGCGCCACTGTCGACGGGGGATACCCGTAGACCGGATATAGAGGGTATTGGGGTACGCTGGTATAAGGATCTACGTAGTACGACATCAAGCAACCAAAAGACGAGAATTATACTGGTTCAGGCCCCTTGATAGGTAATAGCCCTAATCCAGTTGATATGGGATTATATGGTGGAAAACACAGATTACAAAGGAAAAGACGGAACTCGGGGGATTCGGCGAGATTGTAGTCGAGATGATTCGACTAGCTCTCGTCGACTTGGCTCCTTGCAGGCTCCGACTTCATAGGCTGTGTGGGTTATGTTGACTCTGAGATTCGATGATCTATGCCCTCCCCGGGGGGTCCCTTTTATACCGCAGGTTGGGTGCTCTCCGAGTAGGACTCGAACATACCAGACCTGACACGATACGTAGGTAACCCAATTCTTGTCCGAGAAGGTCTCTCCCCGTCCATTGATTTCACGAAGAGTTTCCTTAGATGCCAAAAGATCTATTCGTGTACACGTGGATATGCCATGTCGATACATGACGTATATCGAGGGGTAGAGGGTATGCCTGACCCGTAACCCTGACAATTTAGTAGAATTTTTAAGATTAGAAACTTCTAGATTATTAATTTAATTTAGTAAGGTAGTATTGGTAAGAGTATGTTTGGTTTGTAATAATTAAAAAAAATGGTAAGGATATAAATATCAACAAAGTTAACAAGCTCGTATATCTTCGTCCCACTCATATCGGATTCCTTTTATTTTTTTTTAACAAATTTTATAAAATCACACCTATTATTATCTAAGTTGTATAAAATTATAGGGATTTTAGTACGTGACATGTAGCTATATAGGTATTGTGGTTTTAAAGTTCATAAAATCACACCGTTAACCAGTTTAACATATTATTATATCAAAATTTTAAAATACTACTCCTCCCGTTAAAAAAAATAAATCTAGAACGGGATGTGACATATTCTAGTATAATAAATCTGAATAGAGATATATCCAGATTCGTAATACTGGATGTGTACTAGTTTAATTTTTTATGGACGGATGGAGTATATAACAATTAAACGATGGATAAAAAATTTATAAATTTTAGATGTGATCTTAGAACTCACGGTACTACTGTGTGTTTGGCAAACTGAAAATAAATAAATGTCTACTAGCTCCAGGTGATATACATGGCCGTATTACTGATGCCTAGACCTACGATTCATGTACCAACATCTTGATTCCAATTGTTTATTTATTTCGTTTCTTATATATACAAGCAGCCGTTCGAATTTCAATCACGACGTTTGATCGTTCGTTCACTACTACATAACCAATTTATTTTTACGAGGGCCCCTATACATTGCAGCACACCGTAACTAATTGTGCCTATAAAAATCAATCTCTA